GATCGGTTTGTTTTGAATCTTTAGGCTCTGACTATACTTTGAGGGACAACGTGAGCAAGTATACTCAAAGACAAAGGAAACACAGGAAACACAAGCTAGCCAACAAGCACAGCTCCTGGGCGACACCGCTGCCTGCACGCAGACCAGCTGAAACACAACTGGACGCTTGTGATCTTTGCCATGGCTGAGCCCCCGTGCAGGCTGTTCTTAAAGAATGTGCTTGCGCAATACACCCCGGCGGATTTGGAAGCAGAGCTGCGGCAACGGGGGCTGGGCTACGGCCTTCTTCATATACACCCCGTCCGGAAGGGCGCGCTGGTGGCAGACAAACCGTCTGTCTTCTTCTTGACCTTCGAAACGTGGGCTCAAGTTCACCATGCGGCGGTGTCGCTGGCCGGAACCTACTTCCTGTCAAAGTACCCAGTTGTCGCGGAGGCAGCTCGCCCGCGAACAGACGGCGCTGTTTACCCTGTCAACCTGGCTCCGGTAGCTCCTGCGGCGCCGATCGTGGGTTCGCAAGCCAAGTCTGCCTCAGGGCCACCTTCTTGGCGCGGGGCAGCAGCGGGGCGTGGCTCAGCGGGGCGTGGCGCAGCGGGGCATGGCGCAGCTTCACCAAGCGGCTGTGGCAGGCGGGGCCCGGTTGACCTTGTCCCTCCAGCTCCTCCACCTCCTCCAGCTCCTCCAGCCCCTCCAGCTCCTCCAGGCCCTCCAGCTCCTGCATCACCTGTGTCAGATACACTTGAGACGGAGGAGATGGAGGAGGAAACGGTTCAGCGCTGCACTCATGATGACTACATGGTTCCAACGGAAGACGCGGACGACTCCGACGATTTGCCTACAACGCCAGAGACAGATGCAGAGGCGGGCACCTTGCTGCCACTTCCAGTCGGGCCTGTCAAGCTCGAGCCTGCGTTGCCATCGCCATCATTACAGGTTCAGAGGAGCCCAGCATCATCGGCGGCTTCGGACTCGCGCTCAGCGCGCAGGAGGCGAACAAGGCCCTGGCCTTCCCGTGGCAGAGATCGCTCGCGTGGGCGGAGGAGGCGGAGGCGAAGCTAACGCATGTACACATTGAGAGTGAAAAAGGAAAAAGGCGCGCTAGTGTTGTTTTCAAACTTGCTGTGCTGAGATACGTTGAGCGCCAAGCTTTGGGTCATAAATCCTGAGCTGTCAGGGGGCACACCTCTAGAAGACTTAGGAGATGAGTCAAGCGCTGTATGCATGAGTGTGATCTAAAGACAAGCGCTGCCAAACTTCTTGAGAGAGACACCTCAAGGCTCAAGTCAAGGAACCTTGAAAGACACATTGAGAGAAGCCCCCAGGAAACCTTGGAGGGAAACCTTGAGAGACACCTTGAGAGACACTTTGAGAGACACCTTGAGAGACACCTTGAGAGACACCTTGAGAGGGATCTTGAGTGACACCTTGAGAGTGACCTTGAGAGAAACTGTAGTAAGAGAGACCTTGAGAAACCCTGAGAGAACTTTGAGAGATACCCTAAACAACAGACTGTTTGAGAGAATTGTGTGGAGCTACTTCAAAAAAACAACTTGAGGGTTGCCTTGAGATCCTTGAGAAACTATGAGGGGCAACACGCTGTCAGGACACTGCTGAGAGGGATAATGTATCCTTCACGGCGCAAACCAAATCCAACCCTCCTTTGTTGGAAGCCAACGCCATTTGATTGAGTTGGGGGGCTGGAGCCACGCAAATCACATGAGGCCTCAAGCAACAGTAAGCCTTTGAAGTTTGCTCTCAAGGCACGCTTAAGCACTCACAGTCGACGTGAAAGGCGGTAAACTTTCTCATGGCCCCAAACCCTTATACATGTTTCGACGGTTTCTCTCCTTGTTTGTGCTGACCTTTGCCACACGCAGGCGTTTGGGAGACATTGCGCACGCATAGCTGCTGCACAGCTCATTCCATCGCGCCATGTCCTCGCAACACTTTGAGGGCGACTCCCAAATGCTTGATCTTGATGCTCTTGATGCTGAAGATGGCGATGAGTTGGGGCCACCTGTTGGCTTCGCAGTCATGAACGATGGAAGCACCCGGGGAACCTTGCCAGAATTCCTCAGCCCCGTCACTGCCAGCCTTGCCGACAGCTTGCTCAATCTCATCAAGGACAACAAGAATCAAGACAAGGAGGAGAAGTCTGTGGAGGGCAACTGCAACATGCAGGAGGAAGAGTGCGGAAAGGGGAAGAGCAAGGCAAAGGACAAGGGTGGCCAAGGAACAAACAACAGTGGCAAGGGCGCGTCCTCATCATCTACTAAGAAGACAAAGACCAAGAAGTGAGGCCGGGCGCTTTGCCGACACAGATCGCTCTCCTGAGAGAAAAACAACAATGGGTCTATTTTGCCATAATGAAGCTAGAGTTCCAGTGTAACACTGGCCACCACTCCCATGGCCACAGCTACGTGCCCACAAGCATGATCACTTGTTTGAGAGCCGGAATGCCCCTGCTGCGCCAAAGCAACTTGCGACTCGTCATGCCCCGCAGCCCCGAGTTTGTTCTTAGATATCGATTTCCCAGTAAAAAACAAAGCTGAGTTTCCAGAAACATACGTTGACAACATGTCTCTCCACATAGGGGGGGTCGAAGTTTGGTCGAATGTTGGTCGAAACTTCGACCCGTAGTTTGATCGCACTTTGGTCGTAGTTTGGTCGCAGTTTTGTTAAAACACTGTAAATACCAATGTTTTATGATATGAGCATGTAAAACTACGACCAAACTGCGAGTCGAAGTTTCGACCAACATTCGACCAAACTTCGACCCCCCTTTCAACTCCCTTAAATGTGGCAATGAAAAACTGTACTAAAATGGTTGTGAATTTTGAGAGGAACAGTCTTGGGAGGGGCTTGGGGGCGTTAAGATTCTTTAGGAAACCAATATGTTTTGGTTCCTCTCAAGGTGCCATCTCTCAAGGTTGCAGACCACTCTCAAAGTGTCTCTCTCACGGCGCGGTCTCTCTGGCGCAAAGGTGTTTCTCCAACAAATGCAATCGTCAAAAGAGTTTCCACTTTAGGTTAGTTTGATTTTCAACCAGCAGGATTGGGCTCGTTTGTTTGGGCTCACAGGGGTGAGAAGCGACATCGAAAGTGACTGAGAGGAACATGTTGTGAGCAAACCACTGCGCAAACTACGCCTCTCACCTTTTGCACTGAGTACGTCACCTCCCCAACTTCCCCCGAGTCTTGTTTTCGCCACTCTCACGTCTCACACCTCCTGAGGAAGCGCTCGCTCAGAGCTTCAAGTACCCTAATGGCGTGGTGTCCTTGGTCCTGTGTAAGCTGCATCAGCGCATCCGCAACGTCTTTGCCGAAGTAGTGCTTAATGCTCGCAAAAGCACCCTTGGTTCTTTTTTTACCAGGCATATACAATGTATTGCTCGAGTCAAATGTAAAGTGGCCAGCGTCAATAAATACAACTTCAAGCTCGCCGCGTTCACGAACTCCGAGGTTACGAAAGCCAACGTCCATCACCCGAACGCCTGCAAGGGTCGCGCGCGCCAAAATAGCAACAACGTGCTCAGCGAAGTAAACATCAGCGGGAGGATGCCGTTCCAAATACTCCTCAGCAGTTTCAAAGCGATCTTGCACCACCGCGTGCAACGGGAATGCCATGTGCCCCTCAAATGAGCAGGTGCCATGCCAGCTACCATAAACGCCAGGCGCTAGGTCAGGAGCCCACAGGCTCAGCTTCATGTCAGGTTCGTTATCTGACAGGCTTCGCGCAAACTTGATGACCTTTCCAGGTGGATATTCATACACAATTCTTTGCGACCCCCACGCCACCCTTCTGATAGAGATTTGCTCGCCCCCCACCCACGTAATCGTTGCCACCTCAGGGAAATGGCTATTCCACTTTTTTTTACCTGAAGAGCATGCCTGGCCACTCAAAATGAACTGCCATGCGCTAGAAGAACTAGATGCTTCCTGCGGTCCCAGCTCAGCGCCCTTGCAGGCATCCTCACTACTACACAATGCAGGCGCAGGTGAGGCTTCCCTGTGCAAGTAAGCTTGTTCTTGAAGAGTATCAGCTTGTTCTTCCCTGGGCAACTCAGCTTGTTCTTGAAGAGTATCAGCTTGTTCTTCCCTGGGCAACTCAGCTTGTTCTGGAACAATTGTTGCAACAGATTCACTGCAGTTGCTGCCTTCGTCTGAAAAGATAGTCTTGTTGTCTTCATCTTCTACAGGCGGTTCTTCTTCTACATCGTCAGCTGCTTGTATCCCAGCGCGTAGAAGTGCGTCAAGATACCAACGGCGTCTCATAGCTTCAAGGAATGCGCTGGTGATCAAGTGTAACGCACTCACAAGCGACATGCTCCCGACCTTGTTTCATGTAGGGTCTAGCCAATTACTGAAGGCCAAACTATAATCGCACGTCTTGCCTGTTCGTGTTCAGAACACATGTGAATTTCAAACAAAAAGGTGTGCTCGAAACTGTGAGGGTGGGATGTGTTTCCAGGGCAGCGGCCGCCCTTCCCCTTGAACCATGAGAGGTGTGTCACACATTGAGTTGCTTTGCCTCTGCCTGCCTTGTTCAGCATCCAGCCGCTGTGCAAAGAAACAGCACATTGCCAATTCCCCGTGGGGCCATGCCAGCTATGAAGAGGCCTGCGGCCAGCGAGGCTACGTCTGGTGCGCCCACGAAAAAGCCAGCTGCGAACAAGCTGACCATCAATGCCATGGTGGATGACATCAAGACGGCTGCTTCGTCCAAGGATGATGAGGAAGAGAACCAATTGCGCGACAAAGGAAAAGCCGAGAAATTCGGCAAATTAATGAAGGCTGGGGCATTGCCGCTAGCTGTGGTTCACATGTGGCAAATCGAGTCCAAGAAAGCGCAGAGCCAACGGCAGTTCCAGACGAATCTGATCAATGGACTGTTCAACAAGCAAACTGATGGATCCTACAAGATGAACACGGAGTCTCACCAGTTCAAAGAGTATTAGAAGATCTACGTGCAACACGTCGCCAAGGACAAGAAGAAGGGAATGCCGCGGGGGATCATGTTGGCTTCCGTTTTCCATGGCGACTCCAGGGCCATGGAGGCTAGCCTTGCTAAGGGCGAGTTGCAGTCGCACAAGGACGATGCGGGTATGGAGTACCTAAGCTTCCGTGAGCTGCAAACCATGGAGGTCAAGACCAACGAACGTGGTGAAACAGTTGAGGGGTCCAAGAAGCTCAAAAGCCAGGAGGCCCACACGTTGGCGGGGCTCATGTCGAAGATGAAGTGGGAGTGGGTCTGCAAGAAGGCAGGGTCCGGGCGTTGCTCTCGGGGCTTGCCTTTTGTCACTATTTGTCACACTCAGGGTTTCTGTGTCGGTGCTGTCAGTCGCTTCGCTTATCAGATGACCCCAGGCTGCCCCCCCCCCCCAATCACTCTCAAAGTCGCATTGCTCTGAACGTGTTTTTGGCTCTCACAGTTTATCGTTTCTCTCAAAGTGTGTGGTCGCTCTCAAGGTGAGTCTTTGTGCTCTCAAGCTCTCACAAGGAAAATGAATGGTTTACGCTGGTTGTGGGTACCTTGAGAGAAACAGTTTCCTGAAACAATTGGATGGGGGATAAACATTGCAAAGCTAGCATCCATTCGCCCTTTTCCAGTTTATTCTTACTCTGGACATTCCTTTGGAGAAGTAAAGCTGCAACAACTGTGTCCCCACCAGCGCTGCAAGACTTGTGGGCTAAGGCTGATCAGACTCGGCTTGAACAGGATGCTCATCTGCCTGAAGGGTTCCTCAAGACGCTGGCCAAGGCAGCCACGGCGTGCGACAAGTTGCTGAAAGAGGGCTTGAAGCTTTCCAAGGAAAGGGGCTTGGCGGAGAAGGAGGGAGCCCTTAAGGCTGCCTACGCCGACCTGACCAAGCACCAGAGCCAGATTGAACACGTCAAGACTTGGAAGGAACTCCCGAACACCGATGGCCCACTCACCAAAGGCGCCTTGGACAACTTCTTGCTTGACATTGCCCGGGACGTTGACAAGTACAACAGGGAGATCGAAAGCGTCAAGGGCATCCTCAAGGCAAGGCGCAACTGAGGCCGCTGCTTCCGTTTTTGTGTTTTGAAGCACCTTACGGGGCTCCACCTGGCCACAGCAGCTATAAGCGCAAGAATATACTTCAGGCACACCCGTGAATGCGGCGCAAAACATTGCTGAGCCTCGAGAGGCACACGCGCTGTGGCCCTTTTGAGAGACAAACGCTTGGTAGCTGCGCACACCTTGAGAGACACCCTGAGAGATACCCTGAGAGACACCCTGAGAGACATATGCTGTTTCCTTGATGTTGCGTAGAACACTGCGACGCACAAAGTTCTTCATATACACACACAAAGGTAACCTTTGAGCGGAAAGGAGCAGGATTTGTCAATTGTTGCATGGGTTTGTCAATTGAGCAGAAAACGCTGATTTTACCACACTGAGCATTGTTTGAACATATAAACAAGACTTGCTTCACACTTTCACCCAGCCGCGCCATGGATCGCTTACCTAAGCGCAGAAAGATTGGGGGAATCAGGCAGCGCATGGCCAAAGCCACCGCCAACGAACAGGCAGGCAATTTCACCAATGAAAGCCAGCTTGCCGCGCTCCTCCTGGAACTTTTTGCTTGGGGGGCTATGTCTCCCCAACTGATCCAAGAAATTGCTGCCCTGGCTGTTCGAGACTTGGAAGCCTCTATAGAAAATGGCCAAGTCCTTGGAGACTTGCGCGTCCTTGCTGGCATAGGCACCAACGGCGCTTACAAAAACAAGTGCCATGCTGACCTGATGAACAAAGTCGAGCACTTGAGCCAACTACCAGAGCCATTTCGAGTTCGAGTTCCCTTCGCCCTGCCTTTCGGCGAGTCGCTGCAGGGAATGCTCTTGCCACACCAGCTCTTCGCGTCTTTGTGGCGGGACTACCCAGAAACTTGGCGATCGTCTGTTCTTCCTGATGAGCAAACCCTGCAACGATTTTGGAGCGCAGTGGATTCTCATCCACAGATGGAGAGCCACCCCATCCGGGACGTTGCCGATTACAAGTCCAAGGTTGTGCCGCTCGCCGTCCATGGAGACGGCGTGCCGGTGGTCGGTCTTGGCAAAGGGTGGTCCAAAGTTATGACCATGTTTTCGTGGTATTCGTTGATAGGGCAAGGGCAGACCAAAGAAATCTTATTCTGGGTCTGGAGCATGTATGACCGCATGAGCAAAGGCTCTGTCTCTGAAGGAACCAGAGGCGTTTTCTTTGCAGTGCTACGATGGTCCTTCCTGTGTTTGATGGAAGGGAAATGGCCAAGCGCCGACTTCCAGGGGAAGAGGCATCTCGGCCACCACAAAAATCATTGGGCGTGGTTTTGTTTTTTGTTCTTATTTAAGGCATTTTTGTCGCATGCATGGCACCCACACCAAAATAGGAACAAAAGCGTACAAATACAACAAGCTGCGCCCCCCGCAACAACTTTGACGGCCGCCGCAGGTATGTTGCTGGAAGTGAAGGGCACAGGCTGGCGGGAAAGTGGCTAGCTGGAGGATATCGGGGAGTATTGTTTGCCCTCACAGGGGACCTGGATTATTACAATAAAATATTGGGCCTTCCAAACTACTCTTCTGCGGCAGGGCCGTGCTCGCATTGTCAATGCAAAAAGGCGGGCGATGACACATGGACAGATTTTCGGGCAACTGCAAGCTGGCGAGCCACCAAGTGGACTCCTAGCGCGTGGCGTGCTTGGGAAGAGCATTCTCGATGCCCGCTGCTGTCCCTTCCAGGTGCCTCTTGCTGGACAGTCGCCTACGATTGGATGCACGTCAAATACCTAGGCACTGACATGTATCAATACGGATCTGTCTTAGCTTTTCTGTGCCATACTGTCATGGCGAACGAGCCCGAAGAGAATCTCTCACAGTGCTGGACGTTCTTGAAACAGTTTTTCAAGGACCATGGCACCCCATCGCCTTTTCGATATTTGAACCGTCTCTCTATGTTTGTGAGGCAAGGCGGCCGCTTCCCCAAATTGCGGGGCAAAGCTGCCGAGGTCAGGCACTTCGGGGCAGCTTTGCACGCTTTATGGAATGCTCACATGAACCCTCATTTGATTCTTCATCGCCGGATCAACTTGATGTTGCAGTTAAACTGCCAGCTGGAGAACATGATCACAGAGTACAAAGACGACTTCGCGTTCCCCCCTGGGCCTGCTGAGGACTTCGAAAACACATGCACGACAATGCTCCAATTGCAAACCCAAGTTGCTGAACATTTCTTGGAAGAAGGTATTGCCTATTTCGACGTGACTTCGAAATGTCACATGCTGCAAGAGCTCGCCATCCTGGCTCGTCACATCAACCCTCGGCTCATTTGGGTGTTTTGCGGGGAAGACATGATGCAAAAGATGCAACAAGTGGCGCAGAGCTGCACCAGGGGCAACACCCCGGGCCAAACCAATTTGAAAATGGCCCGCCACTACCGCCTCGGATTGCATTTCTTGTTCAAGAAACGTCACGGATGAAGGCGTTGCTCTCTGTCTTTCTCACACCCCAAAGCACTTTGCGCTCGCGTACTGTGTGTGCAAAAAAAGGCGCGCCGTCAAGCTGTCTTTCATGCAACAGACAAGAAAACACGAGGAGCCCGCCAAAGGGGTCATCGCAAATACTTTTCGCAGAAGATCTAAGAGGTTTTTTTTAGGGGATCACCTTGAGAGACACACCTTGAGAGATGCATCTTGAAGGGTTTGCTTCGAGAGAGGCGCCTTTGTTAAGAATGCGAGACGAAAATCTCATGGCCTAGCGCTGCCGAAACGGCGCATGGGAGTTATACCCAAGTGCATCTGCGCGCAAATGCGCTCACATGAAAATATTGTCACATGAACGGGGGGGAACAAGATTTGTGTGTAGGAGTGAGAGAGCTTACGCGCAGCGAAAGGCCACAGCAGCGCACGCATGCGCGCGCTGTGAAGGGCTGTCAAACATGAGGGGTCGCAGTTTGGTCGCAGTTTGGTCGTCAAACATGAGGGGTCGCAGTTTGGTCGCAGTTTGGTCGCAGTTTGGTAGAAATTTGCCCCCGGCACATTCTAACTAATAGTTAGAAAATAGTCTAAACTATTAGTTAGAAAATCGTGTGTGTTTTTGGAGCCAAAAAAATAGACTATTAGTTAGAATCGCGCCGGGCCAAATAGTCTAAATATACTATTTTTTCGGCGCAACAACGAGACTAAATAGTTAAAAAAAATAAACTATTTTCCACCACAAAAAAATCTACCTAATTTATAGAATTAGATCTAATTCTATAAATTAGGTAATTCCTAGTTTTCTGACTAATCTGGTCTATTGGGCAGTCAAGGATCAGACCCCGCGTCGTCGTCCGACTCGACCTTTCTATATATGCGGCTCGAGTGGAGAAAAGAATGATCGAGCGAGGTATGCGACTTCGAGATTATCTAAATTGGAAACCGTTTCGCGTCCTGAGCCCGCCTATTCCGCCTTGCGCTGAGTTGTTCGAATCTTAAGTGAGTGACGAGATCAAGCGCGAGTTTCCCGATTAGTCATGTCGTCCCAATTCGCTGCCGGGGCCTCTTCGTCTACTTCGCCCCCCCCGATGCCATGGGCAGCGGCGCGGCGGCTGAGGCGACGGATAGAGCGAGCGGTCTAAAAAAAAGGGGGAAACGAGGCGCGGCGCGTTCCAACCTTGCAGCCCCGCAGGACAGTCCGGCGCTGGGGCTCGCGACAGTGGACTTAGATGGAGACTGCCTTTTTCATGCCTTGGCCGTGGGCGCTGGCGGCTCTGGCCCAACGCTTCGACAAGAAGTGGCGGACTTTCTGGAGGCGAAGGTCGTGGACGAGCCCTCCAACTTCCAAGATGAGTGGCTGACGGAGGCCGAGCGACTGCGTCGGCGCCTGTGGGGCGGCGCAGCCTCTTGCGTGGCCTTTTCCTTGATGCGTGGAATGCGAGTGATCTCTCACTCGAAAATTCCCAACAGCTCCGCGGTGGAGGTTGTGGATCTCAGTCATCGACTGGTGGACCCGGGCGCCCCGAAAGTCCATATCCTCTACAACGGCTCCACTCGCTACGACGCCCTTGTTCGATTGGAATCGACGCTGGGGTGGGAGCCGGCGTGGCCGCAGACCGGGCGCCCGAGGTACTTCAAAGAGACGACCGCGGCGCGGCCTGTCGCTGCAAGCGGCCCGTCGCCTCGAGAGATCCAAGAGCAGAACCTCATAGGGGACTCGCTGTTCGGCGTCGAGACTGGCGACTCCTTGCGGGAGCGCGTGATTGATGTGGCAGGACGGGGGCTGTCTCAATTTAGACCAGTTTGCGTTGTAGTATTCACATGTGAGCGAGGGAAGCGTGCTTGACTAAACCCGAAGGAGCTCAAGAAGAAGACGGGGAAGCAGATTCTAGCGAAGCGGGAGAGCTGACAGAGGAAGACGGCGAAGAGGCAGACGAGACAGAAGAGGCAGAGGAAGCTGGCGCCCTCAGACGGCGGAGGTATCGCCAGAAAACGACCCCGCCGCCGGAGTTGCGCGAGGACGTGATGGAAGAAGTGGTCAAAGCCAAAGTGGCCCCGGCGGAGCAAACTGCTCACCCGCTGCGGCATTTGGAGGAGATCGTCAAGCTGATCGCGGAGACCAAGATCAGAGCAGACCCGACCCTCCCCCCCGGCCGCGCCTCGGCCGTCGAACTAGATGCCGGGGCGGTCTGGCCCCGCGCTTTCTGCGCGTTCGTGGACTGCGACTGGGCGGTCGCCGAAGGCACCGAGGCGGACCTCCAACTTCACCTCGCGGAAGCCCGCAGCTGCGACCTTATGGCGGGCGCGCGGCTGCTCCTGCGACCTGGGGATCCGAGCCAGCTGATGTCGATTTACAACGAGGCCCTCGCCCGGCGCTGCCGGCAAGGCGCGCCCCTGGCAGGCTGTTCTTTAGACAGGACGGCCTTGCGGTCCTTTGCCGCGGCCGTGGAAGGGGACAAGGTCGAGGCGCTGATCTGCGCGTCCTGCGCCTGCGTCTACAGCCGCGTGGCCGAGCTTGAGGAGCAGAATGAAATTCAATGGCGCCGGATTCTAAGCCGCTGCGGCGGGGAGGAGGAGGGCGAGCGGCGGCTCTTCGGCCAGCCAGCGCCTCGCGTGGTCGAGATCCTCGGCCTGAACGCCTTTCTCGACAAGTACGACAAGCTACACTCAGAAAGAGCTGCGAGGATGTCGACCAATGAAAGCTTTGAGGACTGGAAGTTGAAGTTGCCCGGCCCCGGCGGCGCAGAAATCCTATGCTGCCCGGAAGACCGCCGCTGCGGCGCGGATCCGACCCACGTCGGCGCCGCGGGCGTCCTGTGCGAGGAGTGCGAGACGCCGGTGTGTCGGGCCTGCTTCGAGAGCCTCAAGAAGAAGAAGATGCCGCCTGTGAGCCTTGCCAATGATATGTGGGTCGGCTACTCCCCTGAGAGAATCTTCGAAGAAAAGATGACCGTGCTGGAGCTGATCTGCGCCTCTCCGTGTGTGACCACCATGGTCTGCATGTCCATGGAGGCTCGTCACAGGCACGCCTCGGCGCCCTTCGACGAGACGGCCCACATGGCCAGACACCGCTACGGCTTCCGCGGCAATCCGCTCACTTTTCCACTGCCTTGGGAAGACTTGATGCGCGAGCTCCAGAGCGTGGGAGAAGAGGCGGCGGCATTGCCGCGAGCTGGAGTGCAGCTGAGTGAGGTGGCCCGCGTGCTCTTGAAGACCAACCAACACGGCCAAACCTCAGAGGCGGAAATTAAGACCTTGATCCACCAGGCCAACGTCAGAAGAGAGGTAGCGCTCAACCTCATCCTGGACATGAAGCGCCTGGGCCACCCGTCTTTCATTGGAGCCGATGAGGACGCCGTCCGGGCCCGGGCGGCGGCCTTGCCCGAGGACGGGGTGCCGCCAGAAGTCTTACGCGTGGTCACTCTGCTGGATGGCTCGGAGAAGATCAACGACAAGCTGCTGCCGCAGAAGGCGGCGACCCCAGTGGATGGCCGCAGTGACGCGGTTGAGGCGGGAAGAATCTTCGCCGCCCAGCGGCCGCGGGGGGTCGTGGCAGAAGGCGAGCAAGCGCTGGATCTCAACCAGACGCAGATCGCCGCGATGCGGCGGCTACAAGACGAGCTGACTTCGGACGCAGAGAAAGCGCTGCGGTCCTTGGAGGTGAGAACGGGCAACCAGTTGGTGGACCAATTTCAGCCTCTTTATTTCGCGGTGGCGTTCTGCTTCTGCTTTAAGTTCGGGACAGCCCGCCCCGCCCCGACGTGAAGAATGAGGTGAAGGGGGAGGCTCGCGACAGTCGACGGGCGCCTGGGGCTCCGCAGGGGTCTTGATTCTACGTTTCGCTTCGTGCGTTCTTTTAATTCGGTTCGACCCTTTAGAGAGCTGTCGGCGTAGGTCGATATCCACGCGTGGGCCGCGGCTATGCAGCGCCGTGTGGAGTCCCAGTTTCGCCGGGACTGGAACTTCGGCTACTCCATATGGAACTACATCTTCCGAACAGCAGTCAACCTACAGAAAAACGTCTACATGTACTCGATCCCAGACGAGTCAAATCCTGAAAGGCGCCGACCGATGACTGGCAAGGAAGTCCTCAAAGGCGCGAGTGACCTGCTGCGGGCGCTGGACAGCAAATACGCGGACGTCTCCGGCGAGCTGAATACTGCGTGCCCAGTCTCTCGCGCGAAGCAGTGAAAGTGCTCGACAACTTGGAGGCCAGGACGCGGAGGATCCCTGGCACCCAAGAGGTGCGGACTACTACCTAACGTTCTCCCCCTCGGAGCGCGATACCGCGCTGATGCTCCGCCTGGCCCGGGTCCGGCAAAGCGACCCCTCCTTGCAAAGCGACAGAGACAGAAGCTTCCAATCTCGGAGCTCGCCCAAGCTAGACGAGGAGTTCTGTAGACTCTCGCCCGAGGCGCTCTTGGAGGAGCTTCCCGACTACGACGAACGCAAGACGCTCCTGGCCCGAGATCCACTGGCCTGCGCAGAAGGCTTCAGAGTTCTGGTGCTTCTGGCGCTGCGGCACCTCCTTGGAGTCCGGTTCTGCCCGCGCTGTCCAGACTGCGCGGCTTCCGACTCGCCCTGCGCTGACGCGTTTGGCAGCAACGCTACGGCGACGGGCGGCGTGCTGGGTCGGGTCGACGCCGTGTACGGCTCGATCGAGTGTCAAAAGGCCGGCTCCCTACATGGCCACTTCCAAGTCTTTGTGCAGTGCTTCCACCAACATACGCCCCTGTCGCAACTGATGAAGCTGGAAGAAGAGGGCGGCGTGAGACGACTGTTCCAGAAGTACGCGAGCTACTCTGCCCATGTGAGGCCGGGTTCGTCGTCGCTCGGGAGGGGAGGGGCGCGCGGGTCTTGTCTAGTTCCCTTCCGCTACAGGCGCAGCGTCTATTGTCGACCTGACCTATGGCAAGAAGGGCTGCGCGAGACCGTGGAAGCCGATTGGCCGGAATATAAAGATAGCAGTTTGATGCTGAGCCGGCCGGCGTATCAGACCGACGCTTCGATGAGCCCGGCCGACTGGAAAGCCCGTTTCCTGGAGGTGGATGTAGAGGAGCTACAGCAGCGCAAGCAGCATCACGTCCACCTGCCCGGCCCAGACGGGCAGCGACAGCCCTTGGCCCACAGGACGCCCGGGACCCGTCCAAATGCAAGAGCGGCTTCCCCAGAGACAAGGCTCTAGTGGATGGGACAGTCTTGGTGTGCCCCGGTCTCGGCCAGAAATTTGAGCTACCTGTCAAAGGCAAGCGGAGCTTGCTCGGGGTCTGCTGGGGCCCGGTCAACGAGCCGAACCTCAACGGGAACCACCCCGCGTTCCTCGCGGCGCTGAGATGCAACGGAGACCTGCAGCTACCCTACCGTTTCCCGATCACTACCGAGACGCACAGCGACTCGCTTTGCGAGGAGAACTGCGCGGGCAGGCAAGCCATTCGCTTGCTGATCAGAGAGGCGCAGCTGACGCAGGACCGAGCGAGTGTCGCTCTTATCGTTGAGTCGTTGATAGAGTCGAAAAAGTTGAAAAAGAAAACGCCTGAGTCAATTTAGAACAAATCCTTATCGCGCAGGCGGGGGCAGCGGGACTTAGCGGCGGATCTGGAAGACAAGCCGGTCGGCTACCTCGCGGCTCGAAGCAACAAGAGGCTGATCACGGATATTTACTCCAGGCACGCTAGTTTGCGCGCGTCGTCTTGGCTGGTTCTTTCGTAAAATCGACCGCTCCCTCGGTTCGGTCCCTGCAGGGGGGTCTGCCGCGGCGCCGTGGAATGCTGCAACCTGATTGTCAACTCTGGCAAGAACGACCCGACCTCTGCGGAAACGATTAAGACGGCCCCCGTGACGGATATTTCGCTGTCGTTTGGATTGCGGCTGATGGAAGCCGCGGCAACCGGTGAGCCGTGGCCCGTGGAGCCGCGGCGCCAGCAGCCGGATAAGCGCGACTTTGGGCTGCGTCAGACTGTCTCCAGGCCGGCCTTTTGGACCTTCTACGGATCGCGCGGAAAAGATCCTCGAGTCTTCGAATTATCTGCCTTCGAATTTGCTCGCCACTTCCAGTGCGCCGTAGCCAGACATCCTCGCAAGGTCGCGGACTTAGGCTGCGAAGGCGAAGAGGAAGAGGAGGAGGGCGACGAGGGGCGCAATTGCGGAGCCGAGTTCCACGCTTACTTGACAGACGAGGGCCAGAAGATATTGGCGCGTCTCCGCCGCGCCGCGCTACTGCCCGGGACGCACTATCGCGTCAAGGATCTCGGCGGCGAAGACTGGGTCGCGCTGAGCGACGGCGCTCTGGGGCAAACCTTCAGGCGCGGACAACTTAAGATTTTTTAGTTCATCGATCTCGAAACAAAGCGACCGCGTTTGCCCCGCAGGCACGATTGGGTAGCAGTCCTACGGCGCCGGCCCAACGTCCCTGTGGTTCAAGGCGCCTTAGGCAGCCGCTGCGACGAGGATACTGCCAAGAAGGTGCTCCTGCTGTTCTTTCCATGGACAAACGATCCTTCAGAAGCTACCTCTCGCGTGCCCTATTTGAGCAGCTTCAAGGCCCCGGGCGTCAAGACCTGGAGACACGCGCTGCGATTCCGCCTGCTGCGAGACGGGTTCCCGACCGAGGAGGTCAAGCAGTTTGCTCAAAACTTCTGCTTCGTCTACGGCCTGCCGCGAGAACTTCAGCCGAGCGACAAGCTGGAGGCGTGGCTCGTCGAATGTTCGGGTCGAGCGTCGCACTGGATGTTGGATGAGTCAGATGTTTCAGCGTCTACTAAATAAAAGCAAGAGGGCGCGCGCCGCAGGAAAACAGCGACAACGAGTTCGAAGACGAGCCGATGGAGCTGGAGGAGGAAGACCTCCTGGCGGCGCAGGCCACGCGCATCAAAGGCGCCGCGCAGCCGGGCGAAGCTGGGGGAGAAGAGGAAGAAGACGCCGAGGCAGAGACGCCAGAAGACGCGACCGCCAAGGCGCAGCGGATCGCCCGCACGGAGCAGATGTTCCAGCTGTCCAAGGAAGTCTGGGGCGGGGCGGCCGCGTCCGGCGAGGGCGACCCAAGCTTCGCCCAACACTATGCCGATATGGCGGCCAAGCAGGCCGTGGAAGACCACGACGAGCTCGAGGAGGCGGCCAAGGCCTCCCGCGCCAAGGGGGAGAAAGCCAGCAAAGGAGGCGCAATGCAAAGGAGGGCCCCGGAGTGAGCGCGGTCCGCCCGCTCGTGACAAAGGCCGGCCTGCTCGGGTGGCTGGAAGCCAAGCGGCCCAACCTAAACGCCAAGCAGCAAGAAATCTTGGCGCTAGTCGTGGAGCGGGTTCTGATCGAGTGTGGCCTGCTCGCGCCGGAAGAGTCGAGTCGCCAAAGCGGCGAGCCCTTGGTGTGGCTATTACACGGGCCTCCGGGCGCGGGAAAGTCTCACGTCCTGAAGTACTTGAGGGAACTCTTCGAAGAGCAGCTCGGCTACGTCCAAGGCATCGACTACGAGGTCGCCGCCTTCCAGGCTGTGAACGCCGCGGACATCAAGGGCAAGACGATCCACAACGTCTGTGGTTTGAGCGCCGACTGGAAGGCCGTCGACCGCGCCGTCAGCAAGGAGGTGGCCAAGCGGATGGGGCTCTGGCGCTGGCTCATCATCGACGAAGTCAGCATGGTGAACGCCCGGCTCCTGGCGCAAGTGGATCAGCGCCTGCGCAGCGCGGCGCCAGACGCGGCGGCTTGGAAGCTTGACCCCGTGACAAACTCCTCCCGACCCTTCGCGGGCATCAACGTGCTCTTCACCGGGGATTTCTATCAACTGCCTCCGCCTAGCGGGGCGTACTTGGGCGACGTCCCCTACAATCGGCGCCCGCGAGCGCCCGACGACTTGACGGCCCCGGACCCCTTGGCGGACTATGGCAGGGAGCTGTTCTGGGGCGGCGCCGTCCAAGGCGTCACCGAGTTGGAGGAGCGGGAGAGATGCAAGGACGGCTGGTGGAATGCAGTTGTGGACGAGCTACGAGCCGGGCACCTCTCGGAGCGCAACTGGAAATATCTCCATGGGCTCCCGGTGGAAGGCTGCGCCCTGTCCGACGAAGAACGGGCGTCTCGACGACGAGTCGTCGCGGGCCACAGCGACCCGCGGCTCCAGGAAGCCAAGTTCAAGCAGGCGCCAGTCATCGTCGCGAACAACGACGCCAAGTTTCAGATCAACAAAGACCGCGCGCTGCGCTATTCGAAGGAGTCGGGCGCGCCGCTGCGGTGGGCCGCCGCCGCTGACAGGCCGGGCTTGGCGCTCTTGCAGACTCAGGCAGGAAGAAGGCAAAAAAAAAACTTTTTAAAATAAACGTGCTTGTGTAGAACTTTAATCCAGTTTCGAGGAAGTATTGCGCCCGGCGCTCAGGCCTGCGACAAGGCGGCGAGGGTCCGTTGGCTGCAATACCATGACAGGGACACTGGAAACCTGTGTGGAATGCTACCGCTTGCCGTGGGCATGAAGGTGGCGCTGACAGAGCACTTGGACAGGTCTGAAGACAAGCTCCTTCTACGCGGCGCGACGGGGTTCGTGCATTCCTGGCGCTGGCCTCCTGGCGCGCGGCAGCCTACCCACGTCTATGTGAAGTTTCAAGGCGCGGAGTGGCCGAAGGCGCGCCCGAGCCGGGCCTCTATCCGGTCACGCGGCAAACCAAGGTCTGGTTCCTGGACGGCGGCAGGCCCAAGCCCGTGCTGAGGATCTCCCGAACTCAGATCCCGCTAGTGCCGGCCTACGCCATCACTGCCCACGGGAGTCAGGGTAAGACCTTGCCGGCGGCCATGGCCGACTTCAACGTGGACAGGTGGACGGACATCACCTTCGGAACCGTGGCCGGCAGCCGCGTGAGGCCTTTTTTTTTTTTTTTAGGGAGCGGAGTAAAAACTTTTGCGCGCTCGGCGGTCGACTCAGATTCGTCGCGTCTGTTGCTCGCAGGAGCCGTGAAGATATCCTCATTTTGCGGCCGTTCCCGCTCTGGCTCTTCCAGCGGGGTGCGCCAGAGGGGCCAGAGTTGCTGCTGAAGACTCTCCGAGGTGAAAAGATTGATTGGGTCAACTACCGCGAGGCCCGCGCGCCCAGCGCGCCGTGCCAACAATGCAAAGTGGTTAAGCCTTTCGACTACTTCGCGGACGCCCAGTGGGACAAAGCCAGAGCCAACCTGCCTGCCACTTGTCTGACTTGCATTCATAAGGATGGAGGCGCCTGCAAGCGCAAACTGCCTTCCAATGTTGAGCGGCTGCGCTGCATTGGCTGCGGCTTCGAGAAAGTGGAGCACGCGTTTCCCCGAGCTCAACTTCGGCAGCCTCGTGCAGAAGAAAGGCGAAATTGCATCGCGTGTTTGAAGAACGTCTCGGAGTTGACTTGCTCGCAATGCGCAGAGGTGAAGCCGCTGAAGGAGTTCCACCTATCTGCGTTGACGCTGCCGTGGGCGGCCGCGTGTCAAAGTTGCCAGGACGCGGTGCGCGGCAAGGCTCGTCGGCTCCGGGCCGGATGGGAGAAGTGCCGAGGCTGCGCGGCTTTTCTGCCCACGTCTTCTGCCGTCTACATCAACCAACGCTGCCCCAACTGCGCGGCAGATCGCAAACGGGGCGAACGTACTTGTCTCAGATGCAAGAGGAAATGGAGCGAGAATTCGGCGGAAGAACAGATCCGCAAACGATTCTGCCCGAATTGCCGCTAGGGTAGATCTTGGAGAGCGATTTTAAATGAAGGCGGCAAAAAGCAAATGCGCGATTGGGTCTTGCCTTGTTGGCGCGCGGCGCAGCAATTTGAATGCGACATTCCCAGCATTGCGCGGCTCTTTGACCTGCTAGCTCATCAGCTTCAAAATGCGTGGGGCCGCGTTGGGCCCGCGCTATGTTTTCGAGATGTCGCCAAGGCGCGGGGAGCGCGCTAGCGTTGCGATGACGCTCTTGTCCTGACGGGCCGAGGCCTTTAGAGCAGTCCGCTTTGCCGAGGCGGGAGACATGATTCACGCTTCGCTCGCGTGTTTGTTGTCTTGCAGTCGCGGGACTCAGGTCTAGTCGGAGACGCGCGTGCGAGGCCGCCGCGGCGCAAGAGCGCGGAGTGCTCCGAGTTGCCTGGCGCGAGGCGCGAGTCGCGTGATGTTCGATAGTTCTGGGGCTTAGGTCTTCCCCATTTCCGTGAAGCTTCTAGAACTAACTGGGCACGATATTCGAACCTAACATTGTGAGCTCAGGTCTCGGTTTGAGTTGTCGAGAGTGACTACGTCTCGGAATTTTGCTGATTTTCGGCTACGCGTTTGCATAAGCCTTTGCCTGAGCAATTATCTCAATCCAGCTTGAGCCATTTTTTGCTTGCGTTTAAAGGCCTCGCTAAGTCGCGTCGAGTCCTTTGGTCAACGAAAATGACTATTTTGGTCGTTTCTCTTAGCCTTTTCATATCCGCGCTCCGAGCATGTTTTGTTCGGTCTACATTCGCTCAGGTTGGTTTATCTGAAGCTAAAATGTTAATCTAAATTATCGCGAAGTCGATCGAGCTCATCTTTTTGATGTTCGAGCTTGTCTTTCGCGTTCGTTAGGCGAGCATGATCTTGTTCGATCTCCCTTTTAAACGCTCGAGTTGTTCAACTTGGTTGATCTGATCGAGTTCAATTTCAATCTTGCCTAGATCAAGCTTGAAGTGGTTCATAACTCTTGCTCGTTTGGTCGAGCATCTTAGTCGAGTTATGTCTTTTCGCTCACGCTCAGAACGTTTTGTCGAACTGCGTTCGACCTGTTTAGAACGTCGTGCTCGGTCTCTCACTCGACGTGCTTACTCAATCAAGTTTAGGGGTGATTTAGCTCGACCTTTTCGGATTACAGTGCAGGGATTCCCCATATATAGAAAAACTTTCGAAGCTTTGAGGTCTCCGCTACTCGCTCTCGACATTTGCCTAGGGCGCCACCACACTGTGTTGGCGGAAGGGTTTAGGGTTTAGGGTTTAGGGTTTAGGGTTTAGGGTCCGCCAACACAGTGTGGTGGCGCCCTAGGCAAATGTCGAGAGCGAGTAGCGGAGACCTCAAAGCTTCGAAAGTTTTTCTATATAGGGGAATCCCTGCACTGTAATCCGAAAAGGTCGAGCTAAATCACCCCTAAACTTGATTGAGTAAGCACGTCGAGTGAGAGACCGAGCACGACGTTCTAAACAGGTCGAACGCAGTTCGACAAAACGTTCTGAGCGTGAGCGAAAAGACATAACTCGACTAAGATGCTCGACCAAACGAGCAAGAGTTATGAACCACTTCAAGCTTGATCTAGGCAAGATTGAAATTGAACTCGATCAGATCAACCAAGTTGAACAACTCGAGCGTTTAAAAGGGAGATCGAACAAGATCATGCTCGCCTAACGAACGCGAAAGACAAGCTCGAACATCAAAAAGATGAGCTCGATCGACTTCGCGATAATTTAGATTAACATTTTAGCTTCAGATAAACCAACCTGAGCGAATGTAGTCCCTTTTTTATCGCGTCCCCCTACGCAGTCGAAGTTATAATTGCCATCCTGCTTGAAGGGCGGCGAGCGCACGGTTGCTGTCAGCGCCGTCGTCTTTGTTTTATCGGTCGCACTGACAGCCGCGGGGGAATTGATCAACCGATCTCAGCCGCCTAGGAGGCACCGAGGCATCGCCACCTTTGAGGCCTACCAGGTCGCCCCAGCTTCCCATCAACGCCTACCGACGCGCGGTCCCAGCTTCCGCGCCTCTACAAGCCGTCGCCTCGCCGGCGCAGCCGCGAAGCTTCGCGCGGGCGGCGTCGCTTCTTGCTTAAGAAACGGCGCCTGCTCTCCGAAGCGCTTTGCTGCGCCCGAGAGGGAATCAACTGGCTCTAACAGACGACGCGTCGTTCCGACTCGCGAAGCGTCGGCCGACGCTCTGCAAGTCAGAGATCTGGTCGTCTTGTCACACAACCCCTCTTCTCATTTCTAATCTCCTCGAGAGGGCAGACAACCTTCCTCTTCCGGAGCGTCCATTCGCTCCTATTATATAGGGCGCCCCGTTTCGGCAGTCAACCTTCTTCTACAGGAGCGCCCGATCGCTCCTATTATATAGGGCGCCCCGTTTCGGCAGTCACCTTCCTCTTCCGATGTCGCGTGCGTTTGTCGTCTCAGCGTTCGTGTAAGCATGCCGCAACTTAGCCCCCCCCCGAAGAGGGGCCCTCTTTATATAGGGACATTTTTTTAAATTGGCGTGTTTCGAGCACCAGTCTTAGGAACTATCAGGCGGATCCTTGAAACTATATTGAAAATCTTCAGATTGTCGCCTGGAAATTGGTGTACGCAGACTATATTGCGCGGGTTCCAAGGTTATCGCCAAGAACTTGACCGCGGATGGTTGCGCGCTACAAGTAGCAATCAGCAAAGCTGGCTGTTGGTGTGACCTCAGCCCCCCTGAGGCCTTTTCGGAAACAAACGGCTTTTGCAACAAACGCAGACAAAGTTGAGCCCATTGCTCTATGCGACGTGGCTTTACGCCACTTGGTTCTGTGTGACATGACTCCGCGCCGCTTGGCTCTGTGCAACTTGACTCTGCGCGAATTGGCACTGCGCAACTTGGCTCTGCGCAACCTGGCTCTGCGCAACTTGGCTCTATGTGACTCGTCCAAGGGCTCTGCGTGGGAGATCCTTTTGCGATGCGATCGGGAAAAAATGCGAGAGGTCGCCCAGCGAACGCGCAACGAGGAGCGCGGCCCGGGATGCGAGCCTTTTTTGGCGCCGTATCCGGTCGATTTAGGATATTAGTTGACGAGCGACGTCCGGATTCTGCCCAGTCGACGTTGCGCGCAGACTGAACACGCGACGAAAATATACGCCGAGTAGGTCTGATTGGCGTAAGCGACAGAGACTATGACAGATAAGCCCGACATATCCTGTGACAGGCGGAAGTGACGAGGTGCTAGCAGACGAAGGCGACAGAGCCGGGGGGGCAGACGGATGTGAAAGATCTTACGACAGACAGATCTGACTAATAGATGTGACACGGCCTGCGACAGACATGGGTGACATGACAGATGAACGCGCGTGACAAACAGCTGTGACAGACAGATTTGACAAAAGCGCGCGTCGCGACTTGCGACGAGCAGACGCGACAAACCGTTGTGGCAGAGTTTGCGAAACGCAGCCATGAGTTAGGGTGTCTAGATTAAAGAAAAAAACAAGGTTAAGTCGAAACCCTGGATGTGCCTTTTTTTTTTCTGACGAAGTCTCTGGGAAGGACGGCACGAAGTGCGACGGTGTCTGTGTGCTCCGGGAATCGCGCGGAGAATACTGGTACGCGCGGGCCTCAGAGAGCGAAGTCTCCTTTTTAATGCCCCTAGCGCGCGTCGGGTGAAATGTTGCGCGCGTAGCTTCGGGCCCTCGCGCGCGCGAGTTGACATGCGTTACTACGCGGCCAAACAGGCAGACTTATGGCTGGGGCGCGCGACAACCAATTTAGCCGACACACAAACCCAATGACGAGAGCGCCAGTTTAGCAAACTTGTTTTGCGACTCCTTAGACTTCCTCGCCTGTTCATATTCGAATCAACGGCGTGTAAAAGAAGTCTTGGGGCCGAGGTAAAGGCGCGCGCCTGACTTAATGTGACTGCGCGATCCGGGTCGCGCGAAATAGCACGCGCGGCGTCGCTTTCCGCTTAAGTGCGTCGATAATTTCGCGATCCTTGTGACCAGACGAAGGCGGCGCCCGATCAGAAACAACCAACACGAAGCCAAGACTAACGCAACAGTCCGCCGCTCACGCGTGACGGGATTGGTAGACGACCGCGTAGATCTCTGGAACGACCCCTCCCCCCCCCGCTCGCAAATGCCGCAGCTGCAACGGAATCTTTTCGAATGCGCGTTTTCACTGTAGCGCCTAGACGTCAAGCGTGCGTCGTTCAATCGCGAGGATAAAGTGTCACTTTCCAGTCTAACGGTCGTCCAGTTATGCGCCTCTTAGCCTCGCCTCATAGCCGTCGCGTCGCGTCTGCGCCGCGCGTAGACACGCCTAAGATATCGACGACAAACCTGCGAGGGGGGGGGGGGAAAAAAAAAGCGAGCCGCGTAAACAAACGTGGGCGCGTGGCGTTGCGTGAGACCACGTAGTCAAGAGCACTTCGAGGTGACGCGAGAGCGCGACGCGCGCGCGAGCGTTAAAGACACATTTTGCTCCCGGAAAAGGTGGGGGAAAGTCGGACCCTGCGATGTTGCGAGCGCGAGAGGCAAACCCGCCACTAGGACTGCCGTAAATGTCTGGCTATGAACGTGTGTGCCACCTACGCCCTCACCCACTGTCACCCGGATGAGGCGGTTGTCCTTTTGCATAGGGCGCGAACGCGGCAAGCACGCGCGCAGGCGAAGAGAACTTTCAGCTTTTCCTCGGTCAACGGCGAGGAAGTGCTTGAGATGAACACTGCCTATGCCGTAGTCTTAGACTAGTCTCGCAGTAAAGCTAACAAAGCGTGCGTCTTCGCTTGCCGCGCGCGCTTAGGCGTCAGACGGGGAAGACGAGCGAGCGCGCGGCCCCCGGGCAACTCGGGCGAAACCGCCCTTGCCCGAGTCGGACGCGCCGGCTGGTTTTGTCAGGGCCCTTCAGGGTTTTAAAACGCGAGTGACAGATTTGCAGTGTCAAACTTAGGCACATGCGAAGAAGACCGCGGAGGACTGCGTAGAGGGCAAAGTGGCCCTCTCACAGTACGAGGCCC